TTCAGGGTCAAGCAGTTAACTAATTACCGATATGTGCTCGTAACGATGCGATTTAACGATGTGCCAAATGATGCACTCCAAATGAGCCTCAAAATTGAGTGATTAAAATCTTTGCCCCCCCGTGCCCCCCCCGGGAACAGTCGCGGGATCTCACGGGGAATTTCTCATTAGCAGCCCTGACAGCGGGCCGTTGCGTGATCTACGGGATTGATTGAATGACAAGCTCCCTGATGGAATACGGAAATGTAATCCATATATAAATTGCGTGCTAAATGCTGCCAGGGGCAGTCCGGGGGGGAGGGGGGCTCCAACTGAATGACAGACACCAGAGACGAGTACAAAGGGCTCCGTCGCCCCAGCCCGTCCCCAAATAACATTTCAGCAAGTGCCAGCGAAGCTTCAACGCCGAAACACAAAAGGCAGCTACACAACAAAGCCTTTGGCCCGCCCCCCCCCGTCCGTCCGTCTACTACAGGTGCAGGTGGAGCGGGGAGCGGGGGCGCCACACTTGATTCTGTTCCCACAGACAAGCCCCTGAGCCCGGCCATCTCTAATAGACTTTTCACGCTTTGGTTTTGAAATTGAGGTGCTGATTTTTTCCAGCTGATATCCGTGGGCATATTCCGGCGATATTCGCACCGGATAAGGGGCCAAAGCCGGGCAGGAGCCAACGATGGAGAGAGGAGGAGAGAGGCAGTACGAGCACAAATAGGGGTAGGAATGGGCAGGGAAGAGAGCAGAGAAAGGAATCCGAACGCAAGCCCGTCGCTGCTAAGCCGCACTGGGAGAGAGCGGGAGAGAGAGAGAGACAAATAGAGAGTGCGAGTGGTGCGGCACGTTTGCTGCTAAGCCGCACTGGGAGAGAGGGAACGAAAAGGACGCGTTTCCGCCCAAATAATGGGTATCCTTTAGTCGAGTCCCAACGAATGTCCTGGCCTGCTTTTTTGCACCGATTTCGTTTTACGTTTTATTTTATGGCAAAGTTTTTGCAATTGCAAAACTTTTGTCCCCCCCTCCCCCCCCCCAACCCCCTCCGCCCTTGCCGATGGGGAGGCAGGGCACTATTTATGCGAAAGAGTTGAAAGGACTTTTGCCCGGAGTTTTTTCCCAGTTGAAAGTCAGTTTTTGCGAGAGAATTTCGGGGATATTTGTAATTAATTTTGTGGCAAAAATATCCGACCGCAGTGGGGCTGCCAAATGGCGAGACAGATGCGATTCCTAGCCATGATTCGGGGACACTATCCGTGGGATCTCCCATGCCATGCCAGGCCATCCCCTGCCACCCCTTGCCATCCCTTGCCATCCCCTGCCATCCCTCTTGTTGTGCACTATTTTGTTGGCAGTCAGGACTCCTGCCAGAATTTGTTGACGGGGCGGGGGGCGGGCGGTCGGGGGGTGGGGAGAAACTAATAAAACAAATCGCATGTTTAGCCAAAAAGAGTAGATTTCTGGTCATTGAACCGACCGGGCCATCCTGGCAACCATCCCCTCGATATATCTGACCAAAGTCATGGCTCGTGCCACCCCCCGACCCCCGCACCCCTCGCCAAAGTCGAAGAAACGCCTTCGAAGGGAGAGAAAGTGGGCGTTGGTCCTGCAATTTGTGTCCTTATCAGCGATGGTTGCGCATTGATTGGACTTTTCCGCCTTGTGCTCGGACTCTCATCCCCAGAGGCCATTGATCCAGGGCTGCCGGCCAGTGCCAGGACACCCACTTGACCAGACAAATAAACAATGATGACAGGACAACACAGGGATAGGGATACGAGTAAGGGCTACGATACGTTGCCTTTGAGGTAATGACACAAATAGAGAGCCCAGGCATCAACGAGGATATCGTAGGGAGGGCGCTTCTGGCGATACGAGGCGCCACGTCGTCACCGCGTCTGCTCTCTTTCGAGGACCATCCGTTGGTCGGTGAAGCGTTGGCTCTCAGAGGAGTGGGGAGGGAAGAGGGGATGGACAGTAGCCCCTCATTTGTCTCAAGAGAGGCACATAATTTGTCTCCACCTTCACATTCAGAGGAGAAGAGCGACGAAGCGACAAAGCGACACAGCGACAAAGCGACACAGCTCGAAATGTCGAAATGAAATGTCTACCTGCGAAATGATTTCATTTTCGGACGGACGGACGGCAGCCGGACGGACGGCACCCGGACTCGCTTCTCATTTGGCGAACAGTAAATGCCGCTTTTAAAGTCAAATGAAGGGTCGAGAGCGGAGCGGCAGGCAAAAGTGGCAGCAACAATAATGCCAAAAGAGGGGCCGAAGAGGGGCAAAGCCAAAAAACGTTTTGACTTGTGCTCAAGAGCAGCGACTGAGCGACTGTGGAGCTGTGGGGCTGTGGGGCTGTGCAACCTGATGTTCGTTAGTGGAAAGGTCAAGGATTATTATACTTCATCATAACTCTATTAAGCTCCAAAGTCCGCAACAGCAGCTTACTGTCTTACTGCCTGCCACATGCCGCATGCCCCCCACTGCCCCCCCTGTCGCTCTGCCTTCAGTGAGCATTTGTTTGTAGATTGTTATTATCTTTTTATGCGGCACACACGAGAGATCTACAAAGAGGCAGAGGCAGAGGCAGTGGCAGGCCTCATACGTGTGTATCCACTCCACTCCTCCCCTCCCCTTCCCACCCCTCCCCTCCCCACCCCACAGGCCGCACTGCGACTCTGGTGATAGTTTCGTCTTTTTTTTTTTTGTGGGAGTTTTACTGTTTAGTTTTCTATTACACGAAATTGAGTAAAAGTCCCAAAACGAAAGCCGCCCCACGAAAGGCAGACAGACGGTGGGGGCGGGGGGAGGGGGAGGGGAGAGGCAGAGGCGGCCCGAGGCAAAGAAACGACAGCTTTCGGTGCGGCAAGCATTTGATTTGATTATTGAAGAGTTTTTGCATTAACTTCCAAGAAACGAGATCGAAAAGAGAGACGGAGAGACGGAGAGAGAGAGAGTGCTCTTTAGCCTACCCCTCCCCCTCCCCCTTGATGGGTGCTTCCCTGTTCCGCTTTGATCGATGGATGCCTCTGTCGCTGTCTCTGTCGCTGTCTCTGTCTTTGGCATTTTGTGTCGTGTCTGTAGGAATGATGCGGCACAAATTCCAGGGACTGGGTGCGAGGGGGAGGGGGAGGAGTGCAGAGCTAAACAAAGAGAAAATGCAACAGCAATACCGCAAGCAGAGCGCTCTGCGCCATGCTCACCGTTTCGTTGCTCTCTCGGCAAAGGCCGCCTCGCTCTCGGAAGGAACGCAGCGCGAGCCGGAGAGAGAGAGGGAGAGTGCAGAGCGAGAGCTTGGCAACTTTATCAGAACTTCAGGTCCAGCAGGTACAAAGCTCAAAACGAACTGCCGCTCTCTCTCGCTCTCGCTCTCCAGCCTCTGCTGGTTTGACACTTACTCCCGCCACTGCAATGAACCACCACTGGATGAGCCAGCAGAGAAGAGAAGTAAGTGTCATGCCAGCTCAAAAGATAAGCCGACGGCTTTACACGCCGCTCTGCTATTCAGCTTAGGCTCGTATGACACTCGCATGCCGCCAGCTCTGCACCCATGGACGACGAGCAGCTGATGTCATACGAGCATCGATAATAGACGGGCAGAAACTTCTTGGACTTTTGTTGCGCCACCTGGCGACGACGACGGGACTTGCAATGACGAGTTAATTTCTTCGCCTTCTCATGCATTAATTGAGTGGCCCCAGGGCGCAGGTAACAGGGAGGGAGGGAAGGAGGGAGGGGGAGACTTATATAAGAGTGGACGGGCACTGGCACGGGCCTCTGTCGCCTGAGATCCCCTGAGGAGTGACCACCGCAAATGGCAAATGGAAAATGGCTGCCCGGGCGCTTAGATTTTTCATAGCCCTGCCATCGGATGGCATCCTTCCCATCCGTCCATCGGCGAAAAGGTCAGATCTTCAAACTGGATGAATGTTCATTAGCGACACAGAAAGCCACAAAGCGTGAAACTCCGGCGGCTACAGATGCAGATGCAGAGAAAGAGAGAGAGACGGAGAGGGGGAGAGGTGGAGAGGGAGTGGGAGTGGGAGAGAGATCTGCACTTTAGACCCAAAAGTTGCATTTCCTCCCACTCCCCACTCCCCACACCCCACTCACACTCTGTGGCCTCTTTGTGGCCTCCTCCTACCCCCCTCCCCCCTTCTCCGTCTCCCTCTCCTGGCCATTGTCCGCTTTGGGCACTGCTTTGACTCTCGACCCTTTTTGTCCGTGTTTACATCAAAAACGTGCCTCAAGTGTTCCTGTCACTGCACAAATTGGACATTTATTTGTTGCCCCATCGACAGTGCCCTTTCCCCTCCCCACTTCCCCCTTACCCCTTACCCCCCGTTGCCATTTCCATGGAAGAACGTGTTAAGGATTTCGATATGGACCTGAGAGTGGGAATGGGAATGAGGGAATGGGAACGTGTACCCCAAGAAATGCTTCAACGGCGAGATGCAATGAGGCAGCGGATTTTGTGGCGCCACCCCTCGTATGCCTCATAGCCGGCATTGAGGAGGGGCGTGTCGTCGATCCGCTTTGGCTAATTGATGGTTTTGCCGGGCAGCCAGGCAGCCAGGCAGCGGCTGCACTCCGCCCACAGATGGATAGCTCACTCCTTGAGCAGACACTCTGCCACTTGCCACACAATTATGCCACTCGCTGCACTGCAATTTGTCAATTAGCTGATGAGGAGATGCTGTGGATGCCGTGGATGCTGGGGATGCCGTGGATACCCGCCCCTTCTAATGAATCCTCCTCTCTCTCTCTCTCTGTTTCCTCTGCAGAACTTCCTGGCGGCCAATGCTCAGTGCTGGTGGAACGGACCTCTGACGGCGGCGACACGCGCCCTCAAATACGCCGGACATGTGGCACCCGGAATGCTGCTGGTCACCGCCGAGCCCTGCGCCCTGGAGGTGCTGCGCGGCGCCTTTGCGCGGAGCGTCCTCAAGCCGCCGGCCACTTATATGATCAGCTCTGTGGGTGAGTTATAGTCGTAGTCGTAGGCGTAGCTATCCTAGCGATACATTTCGAACGGAAACGAACAAAAAAGGTGAACCCTTGAACCCCCAGTTTCGGCGTAGAACATTCCATTCAAAATTAGCTTGAAGCCGCGTAGAAATCGAAGCCATGGCCGGATGCAGTGGTGGAGGAGGCAAGTATCCTGCAGCGTCTCAGTGGAAGGAGCGAAGGAGCCAGTTCTCCGGCTACCGTCGAGCAGGAGGAGGACCAGAAGGAGGAACCCAGCCCCACGACGTGTCGATGTCGATGTCGGTGGAGGATCTGTGCCGCCGCGCGGACAACGTGGCCAATCAGGAGGACTTCGAGCGCTGGAAGGACATTGTGAAGGTGCGCTGGACCATGTACGAGGAGCAGCGGAAGTACAACAGGCGCCGCCAGTCCATGCCTGCGGGCCGCGATGCCACCATCTGGGGCATCCTGTCGATGGTGCAGCAGGAGCTGGAGGAGAAGCTGCAGATGAAGAAGATGCTGGGCAGCTGCCGGCGATTCCCCTCGCCCATGGCCCTCATGGACAGCGATCGGCTGGCGGACGGGCAGCTCCAGGAGCTCGAGGTGGTGCGCGACGTACTCTGTGGCACGGATGAGGTCAGGCCCGAGAAAAAGCACCAGCCAGAGCCCGTCGTCGTGGAGCTGCAGAACAAACCCCTGGCATACCGCCCCAAGGCTGAGATCAAATGGCGGCCCCTCACACTGCCAGAGTCCTTGAAGCGCTACTTGGCGGAGGAGCCGAAGCCCATCGGGGAGGACATGCAGCAGCAGCAGCCGAAGGCGGAACCCACGACGCCCTGCTTCAGTCCCAGTGATCCTTCGGAGAAGAGCCACAGGAGAGCCGACCCTCTGCCTGGCTTTCTGCAGAAGTTCAACGAGATTCGGAGGGGCAACCAGTCGGGGCTGCTGGTGCCGGCCAATGCCTTGCTGCAGCTCGCCGAGGAGCTGTCGCAGAATGCCACCTGGACTGCACCCGACTGGACTGCACTCCCCCTGGGGGAGGAAAGAGGCATGCCCCAGCGTAGCCGCCCCCACCGCATCACCGATGACCCTGACTACGCGCAGTACGATCCCCTGCTGCTCTACGTGAACGAGAAGTTCCACCTGGACGCCGGGTCCGCGATGGACGTCTCCGCTCGAGGCGAGGACAGCCCTGCCAGCTTTTACAGCGCCTTGGATGTGTCCGAGCCGGACTCGGACGCGGAGACGGAAGCCCTTCTTGGATATTGCCCGTTGTGCAACAAGCGGCACATGCGTTTGCCGCCATTCTGAGCCCCCCCTCCCCGCCCACAGGCTACGAGGCGAAAATAAAGCAAAGGTGCAGGTAGCCTCTCGTCTATGGGGTCCCAGCCCCCACCCCCGCACTGCACCTCGTCAAATATTGATGCCTGCCGCTGTCTGGGTCCGCGGTGCCTCGTTAGCTGTCAATTAAGTGGACACCTGTGCAGTTAATGCAATGCTGCCACCGCCACCGCCACCGCCAGTGCCACTGCCACTGCCACACTGGGCGCATGTCCTCCCCTCAGTCCCCAATCCCCAATCCCCATTTCACACTTTCACAGTCCTGTTCCGAGGCTGTGGCCAAAAAATCGCCGCAGCTCTGCTGCGATTTGATAAATGGACAGCCCGGCCGGCCGGCACAGAGATCGCAGCCGTAGTCGTCGGCCTTTGGCGAACTCTGTTTCGGGAATTAATAAGTTTCGATTTGTGGCTGCCACTCGTGGCCATATATAATCCGGCCACAAGGGGGCGCTCCATTTGGCCTTTGTCGGCCGTGGCATGGCATTCATTCAATTGAGGAAATATTGCTGCTGTCTGCCCAAACAAAGAGGCGCACTCAAACACCGCACGGGGGCACAGACGCCAGTGGAGTGGAGTGGAATGGAATGGAGTGTTGCAACTGTGTGTGGCAGGCAGAATCCGCTGCACTGCATGTTTGCTAATTAACATCTGCAATGGCGTAGAACCCATTAACTATTAATTACCATAAACATGACAATTCCATCCGCAAACAAGAGGCGGCCAGGCCTCGTGGGACACACACACACGCATGCACATGCGAGCATGTGTGCAGTGGATGCCACATTATGCACTCGGAATGCATTTCGGACACTCCAATATGCCGCAATTCTCCATGAAACAGCTTTAACTGCTTGCAAGCCTCCGGTAAGCAGTTGAACTACTTTGTAGCTGCATATGTTGCTAAACAGTGGGTCCAGGAATTGCATGGAATGCTTCAAGCTCCTCTCCACACACATTTTGGCAACAGGCGTACAGCAAGATGTTGCTAAACATCACAACAAATAAAAGCCCACCAAGCGGGCGAGCTTTGGATTCTTGAACTTTTGCAGCTTTAATTGCAATTAAAAAATAAAAATACCCCCCTCTTCTTTGGCCAAATCAAAAACCAACGGTACAAAAAGCACTGGGCATGGTGTGACATTAAATTAAATGTATTTTTATTGACTGGCGGCAGGTTGTTATTTGCGAATTAAAATTTAATCGTAAGAGGGGCTAAACACCGTCGGGGTTTCACTTAACAAGCAGTCCCAACATACAGGATCTTGAACTGCCCTTCAGCCCTAGCAAGCAGTTACCAAAAGCAAGGCACAAGAATGTTGCTAGCCCGGCACCGGCACCGTCACCAGCAACAAATGGCAAAGTAAACCGAAGAAAAGTGGGGAAATAAAAGCAGCAATAACTATGGCAATGGCAATAACTATTGCAATAACAATAGCAACAAAAGAAGTAACAAAATAAATAACACATTGCATGGAAAACAATCAATCAGGCGGCAATTTCTCGCTCAATTAGACAACAAACATGCCAAATAAGCAACAGCAACAAAAACAACAAATGAAACGAAAGAAACTGAAGAGCAAATTAAATTCAGTTTCGTGTTAAAGAGCCAAGTGGTGTGGAGGGGGAGTGCAGTGTGCAGTGTGCAGTGGCGAGGGGGGAGGGGGAGTGGGGAGTGAAGATTGCCCCTGCTGCCAATTTGACAACGGAATATCACTAAAGTGAAGGAAGCAAGCAGTGGAGTGGAGTGGAGTGTGGAGTGGAGTGGTGGGAAACAGAGAAGGCAGTGAAGAAACAGACAAATGGCAAATGCAAAATAGCTGGAAAGCGAGAAAATTATACAGTTCCCAGTTGGAAAAAAGAGACAGAGAGAGAGTGCTGTCGGTCTGATTGCCGAGTGAAAAATAAAGAGCCGCAAATCAATTTCATCACGATTTCTCGTCGATCGCCCGTCGTCCGTCGTCCGCCGGAGATGTTGCTGAAAGTGAAATGTGGCCATGACAGTGCCGCGGCTCCCGGCTCTGGCAATCCGTCCGTCTGATAATTGTAACTTAATATTCGAAGCCATTAACAAATCGCTAATCTGTAGAAATCAGAAACCACAACAGCGACAGAGCGGCCCGAAGCCCAGCAGCATGTTGCCACACACGCATATGAGTCCCAGACACATGCTGCTCTTCAAAGGTACTGCAAAGCAGTGGAGCAGTACTGCCGTTAGAAGTTTCGAGGCAATTTCTGGAAGAAGGTCAACAAACTGGCTCTCCCCGGCGCGGTGTGTGTGTGTGGGGGGGTGTGGGAGGTGGAAATTCTTCAAAGCGTAACCAAGTTCGCAAAAAGAAAATACCGAAGAAAGATCAAAAGGCAAGAGTCACTGTCATTGAGGTATGTCTGTCTTTGCAAGTTCATCTTCTCAATCGCATGGTCGCTTGAGCACAAACATCGCCCCCCACCACCCACCGCCCATCAAAAGAGCGTTACCAAAGCGATTATTGTAATTCTATTGTTCTCCTTCTCCGCTCCAAGCCACGTTCCTTCGTTCCCTTTCGTCATCTTCTGGCTGGTCACACTGATTACTCCACCCCCCACCCACAACCCCGTAATGAGGTCAACCCCACTTTGATTTAAAGTTTTTTTGGTTACGCTCGGCAGATTTTTCGCTCATTTCGATGGGAAAGTGTTCCGTTCTCACTGCAAAGAGGAGTCGCCTTTCAGCGCCATTGTGGGAGACGGAGAGTAATCAGAGGAAACGACACGAGTGCAGGGCTAATACGCACCAAAGATGGCAGACCATTTGGCCAAAAAGGCGACACGATTCCGGGCCCATTCCCATCGTCAAGCCGGGTTCAGGTCCGCTAACCCCAAACTCATTGACCTTTAACACAGCGCAGGCAACAGAGGCAGCCAAAAAGTGTCGCCGCTGCGAATACCCTTGGCCGGGAGGGTATTACGCTTTTGGGTGGACTTGAGGCAGGATGCCAGCCTCCCCGAAAGGCACAGGGTATGTGCCACTGTCCGACTCTCTTGGCTTTGCTGGCATTTTGTTGGTGTTGCAACCACGTAAATGTCAATTTGCATTTCGTTTGCTGTGCCACCGAACCGCCGTCGCGTCGTGAGGCGTTGCATAAACAGCAGCAGCAGCAGCAGCACTCGGGGGAGGGGCAGCCGCAGCACCTCCGCGAGAGGGAGACCTTGTTTTCAATTTGCTGCTGATCTGCAAAATATTTTTATTAACAGACGGAAACAATTAGCGTCGCCGGCCCCCGACGCAAACGCAGCGACAGGCGTATCTGTTTTCCTGCCACTGCCACTGCCACAGCCACAGCCACAGCGACTGCGTGGCCTTTGCCTCCTGCCTCCCTGCCGCCTGCCTCCTGCTGGAGCCCCAAAGAGAAAAGGAAAAACTTAAATGGGAAATTGAAAACGCGCAGAAAACGTTTCAGACACAAAATCGTGATTGCCTTCGTTTTGGCCGCTAGACATTTTTGTTGTTGTTTTGTGCTCTACATGGCATGGGGGGGTGGCAAGGGGGGGAGGGGCAGGGGGGCGGGGGGGCGGTTGACTTCTTATGTAAAATGGCATTCCAGGGAAAGCTGCAAATGTGGCAAGGGATCGAGAGGGAAAGAGCAGCTCGCGCTGTGCCACAGAGAGAGAGAGAGAGGGATGGAGAATCCTCCTCAGAACAAAGCCCCCCACTGGGGGGGGGAGGGGCATGCACAGGCGGGGGGCGGGGGCCAGAGTGAAAATGAAAACGAAAGCCCACCGATGACAAACTTCTGCCATAAGCGGGTAAAACTTTCAGCTATTTCGAGGCTCCTCATCTGCATCTTTGCCCCCATCCCCCTCCCTCCCCTCCCCCCACCCCATGGAGTGGGGAGAAGCGAGGCCTGTAAATGATAATAAATATGGAAAAGACGTGAAAACGATTGCCGCGATTTTCCCACCAACGCTTTAGATGGTGTCCGTCCGCCCCTCCGCCGCCCCTCCGCCGCCCCGCCGCCGCCCCGCCTCCTTCTGGCCATCCATCCGTCTTAAGTAGAGTGAAAGTGTTGCGTTTTGGTTTTCAAAAAAAGCACCGAGCTTTAGTTGTTGTTATTGTTGCTTTTGTTGCTTTTGTTGCCCGCCGGACACATATCCTTGTGTTCAATCAAACCCAAAAGCGACGTCAACGCGCCACGGACTCTCGTGGAGCTCTCTCGGATTTCGCGGGGGAGGAGGGGGGGGCGAGGGGGGGGCCTGGCGTCGGAGTCAAGTGTTTTGTAGCTTGAAGGTTGTTGTGTTTTTGCATCTACCTCCCACTGGAAGGCAAAAGACACAGACCGATCCCCATTGCCCCCCCCACCCCTCCCCCCACCGCCCCCCCCCTCTGCGCAACATGCGGCAAACATTTTTAGCGCTTGTAGTTGCCATGAATTTTTATGCAAATGAAAAATGTTTCTTGCGATTTCCCCCCCCCTAACCTGCCCCCCTTCCCTGCCCCCCGTGGCCCCCCCTTGCCCCCAGCCACTGCTGATCCGACGCTGTGGCCATTACTGTGATGCAATTGCCGCAAGTAACAATAATCTTGATGTATGATTTTTTTTCTCTTTAGTCTTTAGTCTTTCCCCCGCCCCCCCCCCCCCCCCCCTCCCCTGCCTCCTCCCGTCTCTTAGAAAAAGGCAAAACGTTCAAAAATATAAAAAGAGGAAATCTTGTGCGCCTATCGTGTTGTTGGCACATTTTCGCGTTTGCCCCCCCCTCAACCCCTACCCCTCCCCCCTCCTCCTCTGTGTTTATGTTTTCGCGTTTGATCTCATAACCGCCAGCGATGCAACAACAACAACAACAACAACCAACAATGGAGCAAAACGCGGAGCATCATAAACTTTTAACGCTGTCCATTTCGAAATAATCAATAATTTTTTGGCCATCGAAGGCAATTTATTATTGTGTTTTTTTTTCGTCGCTCTTTTTCGGGGGAGGCTTTGCCTCGCAGCCAATGGGAACGAGAGGAGCAAATAAATTAACACTTCCTTAAACGATAAACACTAAGAGTGGACCCCCCTTAACCCCCCCCCCCTCGCACTTG